GTTTTCACTCAGTTATTGCCTGAAGCAGTTCAAAAATAATTCATGTACATGGATATCCTTCTGGTTAGAAAACCACTGTCTGCCACAGTTTGCTGTGACCAACTTCCGAAAGAGAGATGACCTTAAGTTAGCGGTACATGAAGCAGAATGTGCTTCTATCTGATTAATCAAAAACCACTGAGGAGTGCTGTAGTTTCGACTTTTGCCCCCCTTATTAGCACTCTTCTTTTCCTCCATTGGGTGCAGCTTCACCTAGGGATGGACACACATACACACACATACACTGGCCTAGTTTCATGTGCCTTAGGTAGCGTCGATCTGTGAGAGGTATTGTTTCTTGACTTTGCTCTGGTTCATTCCTGCACACGGCCGTCCACCAACTGTGCACAAACAACCCTTGATTATGCAAACCTATAACTTTTCTATGTATATTATTTTGAGTGCTCAGTAGTGAAATTAACTGGTCCTCACAATATTTTTTCTACTTTATTTAATTGAAAAAAAATGTAAGATAAATAAGGACTTTTAAATGTAGATGTTTAATACACATCAGCAATAGTTTCCCTTTTTATTCTGTTTTGAGTGTTTAGATTGACATTTTTTTGAAAACAGCTGTGCTGATTGACCAGTTGAGCTCTAAATGCTGATGACTAATGACTGGTATATTTAACTGTGTGCAATCAATCAACAATCTTAATGTTTTAACTGATGTATTAACTATAACAGACAAAAAACTGATTTGAACATTTATGGAGGATAACATGTGCGGATGCAGAGGGGAAAACAGGATATAGTTAAAAATTGAGAAAAAATAACAAAATAACAAAACAAAAAAGACAAGACAAAATTCAAGGAATGCAAAATAAAACATGAACACATGCACTGGTACTGACTGGTCAAACAAGCTGCTGATTCTCATAGTTTGAATTTACTGAATTTCCCGGAGGAACCCACCCGAGTGATTAATAAAGTTCAATATAATCTCTAATCTAGAGTATAGAGCAAAGCTTTAATGTTGGTACTGTAATATCACAGCATCATCATACAACACAGAAAATGATCCTAACTGCAGAGGGAAATATCATTTTCATTCAGAAAGCTTTGAAGTATTTGAAGCACTGGCAGATTTTAAAGTTGTGTTACGAAAAACACAAAACTCCAGAGAAAACATTCAATACAAATGTGCTTCCAGCAGCTGGCTCGTCTGCGTTTGTCTGAAACATCTGCTGACATCTGGTTGACTTCAGCTGTGTAAATCCACAAAGAGCAGGAGGTCAGATGATCACAGCCTGTACACTATGAAAATCTACTGGAGGTCTAAATAGAAATTATTTTGATTAATGATTCTTTTTTTTCACACTAAGTACAATTAGAATGAAAAAAGTTAGACTGAAGTTTGTATTCCTATCTAGTGATATTATTTTATTATTACATCCATATAAAACAAGGTTCAGTTAGCTTTGCACAAAAATAGTAACATCCTTACGTTTAACTTTCTTGCTTTGAGCAGACTCTGTACTTTTTTACATTTACTTGAGTAAAGAAGTTGTATCAGTACTGGAGTATTTTGTAACAGTACTTTTTGTACTTCTACTTACGTACAGAATGTCTGTACTTTTGCCTGAAGAAGACCTTTGCAAAAAAAACAATTTTATATGTACTTATAATAAATATAGATGAAAACCACTGCATGTTTTCAGTTGGTTATTACATGCGATTTTAAATAACCTGGGAATTAGAGTGAAATGTAAATGAAACAGAATTCAGAAAGTTTAAACTCAAATCATTATTCTAATTACAGTATAAAATAAACCTATCAAATCAGAAAACTGTTTATTTTGAAAATCATTCGCAACAATTTTATACCCCTCAGCCATAAAAGGCTAATGGGCTGGCTCGGACACCCAAGTTTCTGAATATGATAACTTGTGAAGGAGGTGATGTAGGATTTTGGAATTGATAATGTAGGTGTATCTACGGCACTAAAAATCTTGCATGAGTTCAGGTATCAGTGACCTCCGACCTCAAGGTCATTCTCATGCTTTAGTCGTCCCATTGCTGCTCATC